TTCATTTGTTGAAATAAATTTAAAACTACAACCCTATTTCATCAATAATTGGCCAAGGCATTATAATGGTCACGAAGAAAGACACCCGGATCTTCTTTTAAAAAAATTAACTCTCTCTTTTTGTCAACCGTGTCTTTGTATTTTGTTCATTCCTGCCCACATATATGACATGTTCTCATGCTCATTGAATATATTGGACTTCAATTTTTTGTTTAAAGTGTTGAGCCAATATGGGGTGTAGTACGCCTAAAGTAGAGACATGAGAAATTGTTAGACTGTTTAGAGGATAATAATTATGAATATTAATTAATTAACCGGTAATTACCTATGTTTTTAATTTAATAAACTTTCAAAATTCATCAAGATGAAGGGAACTATCAACAAACATATAATTTAAGAGGACGAAGAATGCAAATTCTCATAGAGTAAGAAAACTTAACAAAGATGGATGGCAAAATAAATGTCAAGTTTAGGGATGGCAATTTGAACCGTTAAAATCGAAAATCGCAGTTAACTGAATAGAATGGGGCGAAAAAAATCGAACCGGTGGTGCAGTGGGGTGGATATGATATTTGATTTTAATGAACCGGTTCATGGCGGTGCAGGTATGATATTTATGTCGTCGAACCGAAACCAAACCAATTACCCGCTTAAAAAAAAATCATTCTTTTATTAGGAATGACAAGGTTTAGTGAGAAGGAAGTTGACGAAGGGGTACATTTTTTTTATTTAAATCTTAGTTAAAACCATTCTGGATTAGGTAGTATCATTGTATTCTCTACCTACGTTTCTTATTTACTATATAAGAATCAATTTTGAGTGCTAACCTATGCTAGTAAGAGTTGTGGGGAAGAATGAAGATTGAATATGAGTTAAGGTTGGAGCTTTTGAATTAGTAAGTATGAATCAAGTAACTACAATGCATAAAAATCAATAATGAAGGAAAAAATTAGTATTGTTAAATTCATAATATTGTTTGTTAAATTTGTATTTTGCAATTGGAATTTGGGATAATGTTTGTATTTTCGTTTGGAATATTGTGTTTTTGTTTTCATTGACTCTCTTTTTATAAATTTTTTATATTAATTTGACGAATGGACCTATAAAAAATAATTTATTTTCGTGGTTATTAACCGAACCGAACCGAATCGAATCGAACCAATTTACGTGGTTATGGTACGGTTATGGTATGTCAAAAAATTTGACGATTCGATGATGATTTTGACCAAATCGAATCGAAGCCGAACCATTATCATCCCTATTCAAGTTGATTGTTATAATTGTAATAAGCTTGAACATTTTGCATGAGAGTGTAAAAGTTTTGAAGTGACGTAGTCCAACTATTTTGAAAACAAAGATAGAGAATTAAATTTTCTTGTCATACAAGGTATAAGGAGACAACAATTCATGGTACTTAGACACGTGCAAGTAATCACAAGTTGAGCTTGAAGAACCAAACGACAATGTCACTTTTGGAGTTGTTTCAAGATTACATCATAGGGTGTGTTTAATAGGAAAGATTTTTCATGGAAATTCCATTTTCCAATTTTAAGGGTGTTTGATGGCCTTTTTTTTACATGGAAATGAATTTCTTGGTTGCCTTGTCATATAGGATTTTTCTTGGTTTTCTCGGTTACAGTAGCAATTTATTTTTTTTCTTTTTTCTTCTTTTTTAAGCAATGGAAACAAATTTTATCCCTAATTGTAAAAAAATATTTTTCTTAAATTGACAATTTTCATGTAAAACAAAGTGAAACAAAAAAAAAATGATCCTCTTGATTTTTTTTTTTTTTTGCGATGCAGACAAATTTCATCACCAATACTAGTAAAATCTATCCCTTTAATTGATAATTTTCATATAAAATAAAGTCAAACGAACACAAAAATACACTTTTATTTCAACGAATTCCACGTGGAAAATTATACTAATCAAACACAATAATTAACAATTTTCAGAAAAACAATTTTTAGGCAATTTAATTATCTGGAATTCGTTTTCTTTCCACCCAAATTCCATTTTCGCAATCAAACGGACCCTTACTTAATCATCACTAAACGTCTATCCTTCCTATCCTAGCATGCATGATTTCGTTCTTCCATATTTTGTATAAATCATTCACTTAAAGCCCAATCCATCAACAACTAATTCATATTTGGGGTCAAAAAATATCTAAATGGAGTCTATTGGGGTTATAGATACCAAATACAAAAGCTTTGGAATGAAACTATGGATGGAAGGTTAAAATTTGGGAACTAACGTGTCAAATACCTGAACAAAATTGAGTCCCATGATTAATGTAGAAAGGGTCTCAAAAAAAGTTAAATCCCGAAAATCTAACAAACGTTTCCCTTTATTTTTTTTTGAGTTGGGCCTTGTTATTATTTAAAGGGAAAAAATCACAACTCAGGGTTATAGAATATCCCAAATCAAAAACCCCCATAATGATTGAAAATTCAAATGTCCGGTATATATATATATATAGCGAGAGAGAGAGAGAGAGAGAGAGAGAGAGAGAGAGAGATTTTGTTACATCCATTTCCTACAATTAAGCTCGCTTACCATATATAATAGGAGTCCAAATTCGTAACCAAAATTCAAAAAAATCTGTCGGATTTCATTATGCACGGCAACGAAATTGATATTGCTGACTGATTTTACTACAAATTGGTTGATTTCATTACTCTATCAGGTCACAGAGGTCGCTGTCAATTCCATAAAAATGAAATAATTACTGGAGAAGCCAATCCAGGTAATAATATGAATGTTTTGTTCGTCGATTCGAATGTCACATTCCGGACTGAATTTCGTAACACGAATTGGTCCGAAAATCATCGTTGCAGGGGACCAAAAATCATTGCTGGCCACGAAAGTGCTTATCATCCTTGGCTAATAGTCCTAAAATCATCGTTACAGGTAATAGTGTATTTTGCTGCGATCACAACTTGAAATCAACAATCACGAGACTAATATCGTTCATCACAAAATTAGTATAATATCTAACTTATAGGTCATAGCTGCTCATATCGTCGTTAGCTGGTTTCTCATCACAGGTTGCTATTCAGTAGAATCGCAGTCATCACAGGTTGCTATTCAGTAGAATCGCAGTAGACGTCAGTGTCACATACATGAACTGTATGTGTAAATGTGACTTGATCTGTGAAACTGTAACCTCTATACTGTGAAATGTGAAGTGTTTCAACAACTATGTCCATGTATTTAGCATCAAACGTGTCGTTATTCACTTCGAGCATATGCGACCTCTGTGTAACAATGTAGGAGAAGTCATATGTGACCTGATTTTTGGCTCCGTAACCCTAATTGGTAATGTGTGACTTGCTATGTGAAACTGTGACTTGACTTATGAATCTATAACCTATCTGATGTGACATGTTTCGCCCACAATGTGTTGAGAATGTAAAATCAAACATTTCGTCATTCGTTACGAGTATATGTGACTCCCTGTCAACTTTGTAGTCTGAATGTACCAATCTGTGACCTGGCTTGTGATTGTCTTATCCATAACTATTTGTAACCTAGTTTGCTAATTTGTGACCTCGTTACTGTGCAGTGTGACATGTGACATATTTCACATATGATGAAATTATTGATATTAATTCTAATTTGCAGAATGGTGTACTTGCACGTACTTATTGACGTTGGTAGCTCGCAACTGCAGTTATTTAACCTTTGTGGAAACAGTGATGATAGAATTTGCTCTAGATCCAACGAAGGTAGTTGTGTCCTTGAAGTACATATTGAAGGAAGATTTGCCACCCATCAGGATTAAAAATGACAATAATGTACTATCATACGTTCTGCTAAAGGACATGGAGCGTGAACCTGCTAAATATCCGATAATCATTGACGTTGCTGAGGCAGAAATAGATAATACATCCATCACAGTGCCAGTCAATGCGCATTCCAGCGGTGAGATGTTTACATTGCAAGACATGGTATCAGACATATGTGAAGCATCAAATGAAAAAATGGGTCAAATTCGTAACACTGAAGTCATAGTTGTGTCTATCGCGGATGCTAGAGAGGTAGAAGAAGGAAAGGTGTTTCGTGATAAAGATGTTTTGAAAATGAGCCTGTCATTTTTTGTCATATAGAGTATGTTTGAGTTTATGGTTGAACAGTCCGACAAGAGAGAATATGTTGTGCGGTGTTCGAAACGTAGATGTAGTTGGATATGTAGAGCTTCGATATCGGGTAAAACAGATCTATTTAAGATTCGAAAGATTGGTAGTCACACATGTGCATCAAATGTAGTATTGGATACACATAGGCAAGTGTCATCTAAGGTTGTGTAATCTATAATTAAGTACGAGTACACATCGTCTCGTACTATATATACACCAAAGGACATATGTAGTGACATGTCGAATACTTATGGGGTTTATTTGAGTTGTTCAAAAGCTTGGAGATCTTGCGAGCAAACTTTGAAAATGATTAGGGTGACCTAGCCGAGTCATTTGGTAAGTTGTCAAGCTTCTTCTACATGCTCCGACAGAAAAATCCTGGTACGATCACAGAAATAGAGGTTGATAGTCACAATAAGTTCAGATATTGCTTTATGGCACTAGGTGCATTAATACGGGGATGGGAGCATTGTAGACCGGTGATTGTTGTTGATGGTACATACTTGAATGGTAAATATGGAGGTACACTTTTCACAGCATGCACACAAGATGCAAATAATAGTATATTCATTCTAGCTTTTGGAATTGGAGACAATGAGAACCACAAATCTTGGAGATGGTTTTTCGATAAGATGAAGAAAGCGTATGGAAACAGAGAAGGGCTGTGCTTTGTGTTGGACCGTTACCCCAGTATAAAGAATGCAATATAACATGTGTATCTGGGAGTCTGTCACGGTATTTGTTCTTATCATTTGTTGCAAAATCTAAAATCATATTATGAAAAGTCAAGCCAAAACATTACACAAGCATTCAATTCGACTATCCACTCTTACACGCTAGAAGAATATGATTATAGCATGTCTCTGCTGACTACGATAAATGAGAAGATAATTTCTTACCTGGTAATGTAATTAGTCTTATTTCATTTCACATACATATAAATGGTCACATATGGTATTTACATAATGAACTTAATGATTGATTTAAGTTTGCAGGCTGATGTTGGACCTGAAAAATGGTCACGAATACATATGCCAACAAATAGGTATTCTACAATGACATCAAACATCGTGGAATCGGTCAACGCAGTCACGAAGGTAGCCAAAAATTACCCTATTGTTTCCCTCCTAGAGTCATTACGGCAAACCATACAATCGTGGTTTTGTAGACACAGAGATGATGCACATGGAACTTTCACAAAGTTGTCGAGCACGTACGAGAAAGAGATTAGGAAAATGAGCATGGATTTGAGAAATTTGAGGGTAATTTTTTATATTTTAACATTGAGATGTTTATGTGACCCAATGTAAGTGTCAGTATCTTGAACTGTAATGTATCAAATCTTATGTGACCTGTTTTGTGATTCTGTGACCTGGTTGGTAAACTAAGTTTGAAGCTCCATATTCTGTTTCATAGCTATCTGTGAATGGAACAAATTTATGTAACTTGATATATAAATCTGTGACCTAAGTGATGTGATATGTGATGTAATTGTGTATTCTCTATCAACTCTGAATTCTGATGTATGTCTATCTGCCAAATGAGGTATGGACTGCATATGTAACATGCTTCATGAATCTGTAAATAAACTCAGGGATATGAGTCATTCATGCGTGACCGACACCTTGGAGTATATGTTTCAACTACATGTGACCTGATTGTTGTTATATGCACGCAGGTATCTCCTTCAAACCAGATAGTGTTTTCTGTTAGCAATGAAAGGTCGACGTTTGTCGTCGATATTGAGCAACGAACATGCACTTGCAGGATTCTACAAGTTGATTTGTTACTGTGTCCACACGCTTTGGTTGTAATTGCAAACACAAGAAGATATCCATATGATTACTGTTCCTATTATTACACAAGAGATGCGTACTTGAATGCATGCCAAGATTCTGTATATCCAGTTGGAAATCAAGAGGAATGGACAGTGCCAGAAGAAGCATATCGAGAAATAGTGTTACCTTCTTACCAGAAGAGGAGTTGTGGAAGACCTACGGAGAAAAGAAAGAGATCATCCAGAGAAGGGGCAAAATGCGGATGTTGTGGAGGACAGGGTCACAACCGTAGGAGATGATCCAGCCTCGCTCCATTACGCTAAAATGACCGATAGAATTACATACAAATATTTCATAGATAGATGATATTCTTTTAAGGATAATGTTCATTTTAAATAGTCTCTTTAAAGAATGCATTCAGATTGATCAACTTATAGTTAATTGTCTATCAACTTTGGAGTCAGAATAATAATTCTCTGATATTTGGACCATAACTGTAACCTGATAACAGATCTGTGACTTGTGTGTTGTGACCTGTGATGTCTGACATGCTGTATGAAAAAGTTGCCTGATTTGTCAATATGTAACCTGAAATGAGAATATGTGACCTGAAGTGTGGACACATACGGGTTACATAAATCCTAATATCTGTAACCCATGTGCTGTGACATGCGAAGTGTCGTATGAAAGGTATGGTGACGTGATATGTAAATCTGTGACCAAGTTCAGAAACCAAATGTGACCTGTCTGCTGTACCATATGACATGTTTCACTGACTACGTGATGCTGTTAGAAATAATGAATCTGTATAATTTACACAATTTATATAAAAATAGCATTAAAATATAATCAAAGATGGATAAATTATGAACCTAAACACGTTTATATCCTTTACTGCAAATCAAAGGTTACGAGTTATAATTCATTACATGAACCTCTATTGACCAGATACATGCAATGTCCATAACATTTACAAACTAAATCCTTGTCTTCACTAACAAATCTAAAGCCACTTTTCATCCTATAACAAGCGCTTCCCCATAGTAGGCTGATTTACTTTCGTTGTGTAAACCTGTCGGTGTTTGTAGATCAGCATAGCAATATCCATTCTGAACTTGCTGGCATCAAACTTCTGGGGAATGGAACATCTACCACCAAGGATAAGATACAACGCATATAACACCACGAATATCCCGCAATTATGATTGCAGAACATATGACAGACTGTTATGAATGAATCCATCAAAAGGATATACGCATTATAAATCTTGGTCACAGACTTACCCATTTGTTTGATGAGGGAGTATGTCATCAATGATCACTTTCAATTCTTTGGCTTCTAGCTCGTGATAATCAGGATCCTTCTTTGAAATTCCCAGGGTATTCATTAGAGCAGGTAAAACCTTCACATACGGCTCAATACCTTGCAAAACCTTTCAGTCACGGTAAGATTTACCTGCCGAGTTGAACACAATCAAGGTATGACTTCTGAATTGTAACAGGCCAAGCATCCAATGTGCTTTGTTATTGGGTATGATCGGTATGAACATATAGTCAACATCGGCACAGGGTGAGCTAAAAGGGAGGCTGTGACCTGTTGCAACCTCAAGCAGGCTCGACTCTGACATCAGAACATTTGGGTCCTTCATGAAGGCAAGAAAAATGTCTTTTATTTTAATGTAGAACCATGAGTTTGTGGTAGTGGCTCTGTATTTCACATTTTTGCCAAGTTTTGCTATTTGACGAATAAAGTAAAAGCAGACATCCATGTGTTGTTTCAATGAGAAGAAAATATGTAAGCATTGTGTACTCCAGATTGGATACGAATATAAAATGTGATCTGTTTATATCAAATGTGACTCTGTGACTAGTTACAATATGAAATGTGACCTGTTTGTATCATCTCTGATACTCTTCTTAACGAGTACTAAAGAAATCAGAATTCTAAAAAAAGTAATGTAACTTAATTGAGTGGGCAAACGTAATCGTACCGCACCACTCAATGATGACTCCGAATTTATAAGCTCATGGAACCAGGTCTTATGACCTACAAGGAATGAACCAATTAGAAAAGCAAGCTTGATGGCGTCATCTTCCTTGCTAAACTTTTTCCTGTGACCGACACTAAATGTTACATGTGTTTTGTCTAACTGTGTATTGAGTAAATTTTGACAGATAAGTAAGAAATGTACTTACTTATTTTTTGGTTTGTACCCCCTCTGGAACCAACCCATGAAGGCCGATTTGTCAACCTCATCAACATTGTCTTCGTAATCCTCGAAAACGACAACATTATCATCGTGTTTGAATAATTTCCCTCTCTCCTATCTAGTAACAAAAAGAGACTGCAATACCCTCGATAGCCTTAAAACCCACTTAACTGGTAATTCCGAGGTTGGTTCAGCAGTAGGTGATCCCAGTATATTATTGCAGTAGGTTACAAAATAGATTGAAAATACGGCACATGAGCTGTCTGTGGCGTAGTTTGTATGTGGTCTGTCACTTATACATGTGACCTGGTCTGAATGTGTCGGTGATATGTGACATATGATTGGAAGATAGTTTGGAAGGGTGTGTGGCTTGTGACCCATAAATAAAATGTGGTTTGAAATGTATGTTATCTGTGACCTATGAATAGGACATGGGATGAAGGAATCTGTGATCTGTTACCTAACAATGTGACATGATTCGAAATTGTGTTTAATCTGTGGCCTATGAATGGGAGATGATTTGAAGGTATCTGTGCTCTATGATCCATGACTGGAACATGTGTTGGTATTGTGTATGATCTGTGACCTATGAAAGGGACATTGTTTGGAATGTCTATGAAATGTAACCTATGAATAGGACACGATCTGAAGTGTGTGTGATCTGTGACCTAATAATATAACATGGTTTGGAGGTATGTGTGATTTAAGATCTACAACTATTGGAACATATAAATACCTCATTCTCTACAGTCTTTGTTACGATCACCACATCAGATATGATGGAATCTACCCTCTTCTGAGTTTCCTTCGAATGCAAAACATTGGGTGGGGTGAATTCAATCCCCAAATCAAATGATGGTTGCTCAAGGGAGAAGAGAAGATTATCACTTGGGTCCATTTTGCCCTTCCCTTTTGTGTCGACGTTTGATACTACGTTTTCCACCTACATGTTGAATGGAAAATGTCAAAATGAACTATGCTATTTTACAAAAATGTAAAATATACTAAGTGACTACCTCCTGAGCCTTTTCAGATCCACCAGTCCCATGATGTTCTTGATCTCCAACTCCAGGAGCTTTTTTTTGTCCTACTCCATGCTTGCTTGTCCTGTCACCAGACCGTCTAATGATCTCGTCCATTGCACTGGATATCATTATTGACACAGACTCAGATAGAAACTGCATGTTCGTCCGAATATCCATTAGGTCACTTTTAATACAGGCTTGCATTTGAATAATGTCATCCATTTTGTTAGTCTTCCCTTGGTTCAAAGATGACATATGTGACTTAATGTCTTCAAGCTCCATCTTCAACAATTTATTATCCGCTTGGAGTTCGGATAGTTGCACATGCAACACCTCAAAAGCCTGACAAAAATGAATAACTGATTATTTAGATGTTGCTTGCGACATATCTGTGACCAACCATCGACATACAATGCACATTGGTCTATCTGTGACCTGATGTGTATGAAATGTGACATAGGAAATATAGATGTGTGACCAATGATGGAAATATTGAGAGCTGACTAAAATAACAACTTACATCATCCCTTTGTGCCCCATGAGATTGTGGCTCCTTTTGAGAATGATGAGTGGCTGTAGGACCTTAAACAACCGAGGATTTTCCATGGGTAGGTGGCTTCTGCCGTCTTGGAGGAGGAGCAACAAAATCGTCGTCATCATTTGAAGAGTGAGCTTGTCCAATATTACTGTCCATCAACGGTAGGACTGATGGAACCGACTTCTCGCTAGTACCGACATCTTCAACAGACCTCTTCGTCCTGCGCTTGGTTCTTCTTCGGCTCTTAGTTGAGGACGTCGGCTGGATCAGTTTGTTGTATTGGACTCCGTTCATGTATGGCATCGCCATTTCACTTTTCAACGGTTCCAAGTCACAAATCACAATTTGCAATACAATATGTTGTTTATATGAATGCAAAGTCAAAAATTCAGTATTAATTACATGACGCTTACTGAAACTTTACCTTAGGATTGGAGAAGCAGTCGGGTCCTTCCAATTTGACAGATGATGGTTGCTCATCTGCCATCCAGTTTACAATGCGGGGATGCACCTTCGATATCCTGGTGACCACGATGCCCTCAAGACTGGGAAAAGTCTCGTCTATCCATGCTTGGAAGGCTACAAGCATTCCTCGTAGCCTGTACTATGGGGTCCTCCTGCTGAGTCCATCTCTCAATGCACTCAGAGTAATTTGGAATAGCAGCTTGCCCCATGGAAAACTGTTCATTTCATTAAAGTCCTCAACAAGAACAAACAGGAAGTGGTCGACAACCTTCTTGTAGTCACGGGGAAAGAGATAGGCAGTTAGGAAATATAAAACCCTGAACATTGCAACGTCATTATCTGGTAAGGCTTCAACCAGATCGAGATCAGGCATTTGGCATGCAGATAGAAATGTGTCCTTCACATCTTCATGTGTGACATTATCTACTTGTGAAAAGTATTTGGCCTTTAACGTTGATTGCCTATTTTCAAAAACCTGAGTATCTGTATCGCCTGAACATCTCAGTCCTGTGACCAAACAAAACTCAGTTATAGAAAACCTGACGTATCACCCAGAAACATAAAACCATATTTCTTCCTCATTCGAGTGCTGAACCTGCCTTAGAAGGAAGTAGTGAATCAACTGTGGTTGAATCATTATTTCATGGCAATCCAGGAAGTGGGCAAAGCATGTGCCCCTCAATATCTGTTTTTGGCTTTGGCTTAACTTTGATTGTATAGTGGTGAGAACATCCTTGTACACAGAGGTGGTAATCTTGCCAGGAAACCAATTTTTTTAGGTATTTTAAAGTGCCAGACTTACATAAAGTGTTAATAATAGTAAAATGGTTAAGTACCTATGTTGTAATTCAGAGACAGAAAAGGAAATACATTTAGGTGATATGGTCACATATAGGTTAAATTCAGGTCACATATATGTAAAATTGGTCACATATGGACATCATATTACTAAAGCACATCATCAACCATATTAACAGTGAGCTCACAGGTATATAAAGTCTTTTCATTCAGGCCACATATTCTCAATAGGTTTCAGTCACATTCTCAACCCTATTAAGAAT